GTACCAGAAGGGAAAGAGGAACAGCAACAAGTGGAAAACTTATTTGAACAAATAATAAAGGAGAACTTCCCCATTCTGGCAAAGGAAATAGACTTCCAGGAAATCCAGGAAGCTCAGAGAGTCCCAAAAAAGTTGAACCCAAGAAGGAACACACCAAAGCACATCATAATGACATTAGCCAAGATTAAAATGAAGGAGAGAATCCTAGAAGCAGCAAGAGATAAGGGGACAGTCACCTACAAGGGAGTTCCCATCAGACTGTCAGTTGATTTCTCAAAAGAGATCTTACAGGCAAGAAGGGGCTGGAAAGAAGTATTCCAGGTCATGAAATCCAAAGACCTACAACCGAGATTGCTCTGTCCAGCAAAGCTTTCATTAAGAATGGAAGGACAGATAAAGTGCTTCTCAGATAAGATCAAATTCAAGGAGTTCATCATCACCAAGCCCTTATTATATGAAATGTTAAAGGGACTTATCTAAGAAAAAGAAGTTAAAAAAACAGGAACAGTGAAAGGACAGCAAACTCACAGTTATTAACTACCACACCTAAAACAAAAGCAAACTAAGTGGGCAGCTGGATCAGGAGCAGAACCATAGAAATGAAAATCACATGAAGGTTTAGCAACAGGGGAGTGGGAGAAGGAGAAGGGGGGAGAAGGTATGGAAAATAAGTAGCATAGACAGTATATAGAAAACAGATAGGGGGGAGGGCAAGAATAGTATGGGAAATATAGAATCTAAAGAACTTGAGACACATGGTCATAAACTAAAGGGGGGAATGGTGGGGGAGGGGTGTGCAGGGTGGAGGGGAATGAAGGGAGGAATAGAACAACTGTAATAGCATAATCAATTAAAAAAAACAAAACAAATCCTCAGGTGGGGATTTAAAAAAAAAGAAAGATAATGTATGTGGTTAACAACATTTTACAAAAGCAAGCTTTTGTTTTCCTTGGTTTCTTTGAAAGTGGGAACCTCCACAGAAATGTGGGAGTCACACCATGACTCTCAGTATGTTCAGCACTGTGATGATTGCCTAGTGTTTTCACATAGACAACAAAAGTGTGAAGCTATTTACTTTGATGGATAATTAATATTAAGTAAAATTAAACCAGTTGTATAACAATGATTATAATCTGGTAAAAGATCTCATCATATAAAACTTCCTCTTCTGAGGATATGTCCATTTTTAAGTCAATAAATTTTCTAAATGAATGACTAATTTGAAATGTAAACATACCATGAAGATCTAAAGAGTAAGTCTGGCCATGGGCCTATATTATTCTATGCTTTTATTAATAGTAACATACGCAATGAGTAACACATTAATCATAGGAAAGAGCAGTTGAAAAGTTAGAAAATAAAGCAACTGGTTCATCTTTTTTTTTTATTAAATAAATTTATTTATTTTTTTTGAATTGTTTATGCTGTTACAGTTGTTCTATTTCCCCCTTCATTCCCCTCCACCCTGCCCCCCAACCCCCCCATTACCCCCCCCTTTAGCTTATGTCCATGTGTCTCAAGTCCTTTAGGTTCTGTATTTCCCATACTATTCTTGCCCCCCCATCTATTTTCTATCTACTGTCTATGCTACTTATTTTCTGTACCTTCTCCCCCCCTTCTCCTCCTCCTACACCCCTGTTGCTAACCCTCCTTGAGATCTTCATTTCTATGTTTCCACTCCTGATCTAGCTGTCCTTTTTAGTTTGCTTTCGTTTTAGGTAGTGGTTGTTAATAACTGTGAGCTTGTTGTCCTTTCACTGTTCATGTTTCTTTAACTTCTTTTTCTTAGATAAGTCCCTTTAACATTTCATATAATAAGGGCTTGGTGATGATGAACTCCTTGAATTTGGTCTTATCTGAGAAGCACCTTATCTGTCCTTCCGTTTCTAAATGAAAGTTTTGCTGGGTAGAGCAATCTTGGTTGTAGGTCTTTAGTTTTCATGACTTGGAATATTTCTTTCCAGCCCCTTCTTGCCTGTAAGGTCTCTTTTGAGAAATCTGCTGACAGCCTGATGGGGACTCCTTTGTAGGTGATTGTCCCCTTAGCTCTTGCTGCTTCCAGGATTCTTTCCTTCATTTTAATTTTTGCTAATGTAATTATTTATGCCTTGGTGTGTTTCTTCTTGAGTCCAACTTTTTTGGTACTCTCTGGGCTTCTTGGATTTCTTGAAGTCTGTTTCCTTTGCCAGATTGGGGAAATTTTCTTTTATTATTTGTTCAAATAGTTTTTCCACTGGTGGTTGTGTCTTTCCCCCTTCTGGTACCCCTATAATTCGGATATTGGAGCGTTTTATAGATGTCCTGGAAGTTCCTAAGCTTCTCCTCATTTTTCTGAATTCTTATTTCTTCATTCCTTTCTGATTGATCATTTTTTCTTCCTTCTGGTTCACTCCATTGAGTTGAGTCCCAGTTTTTTTTTCATCTCTATGGGTTTCCTGTGGAATTCCATTCATTTCCCTTAATTTAGCCTTCATATGTTTCTCTAATTTGTGGCTATAGTCCACCAGATCTGTGAGGAAGCTGACGACCAGTGTTTTAAACTGTGCGTCTGAGAGATTTGCTATTTCTTCGTCACTTAGATTTATCTCCGGGACTTTGAGGTCCCCCTGCGACATTTTTGGTCTGTCCTGGCCCTTTAAGTGAGAGAAGCGGCGCCTTGGAGTCCCAGGTGGCTGGGTTGTGACGCTGTATGTGGGGGCGTGGTCAGAGCGGGGAAAATGGCGCCGCCGCCGCCGCTGCCGCCGCCGCTGCCGCCGCCGCCGGTCTCACCGCTCACTCCCTCACCCGCGCGTATCCGGGCACCCACAGTCAACTCGCTACCACCGCCTCCCCGCTGACTCCTCCGTAGTCGCTCACCCGGTGGGCTGCTCACTAGGTCCAATCCTGGGTTTGGAACCCGTGCGACTGGATTCGCGCGTCTGGATTCCGCGCGCGCCCGCGCCCGGGTCGATCGAGCCCTCCTTTGTAACTCCTCACCCGCCGCCGGTTTCGCCCCTTACCGGTCGGGCGAAGAATTTGTTGTTTGCGGACTTCCGAAAAGTTCAGTTTTCCGTGTTCTGGTTGTGTTTTCTGATGCTAATATTTAGTTGTCCTTAAACTTGGTTGTGAGAGGAGGCAAGGCACATCCACCTTAAACCTCCATCTTGGCGGAAGTCAACTGGTTCATCTTAATAGAGAAGAGAGGAACTGACATAATACAGTTCCTGAAATAAATCTTATAAAGAAAGACAAAGCTATTGAAAACTGCGTTGCCCTGGCTGGGTGGCTCAGCTGTTTGGACAGTTGTCTCACACACCAAGAGCTTGTGGGCTGGGTTCCTGGTCAGGGCACAAGCCTAAGTCACAGGTTCATTCCCTGGTCAGGCACCTAAGTGGGACTCCTACATTAGGCAATGGGTCATTGTTTCTCCTTCACATTGATGTTTCTCTCTTTTCCTTCCCCTCTCTAAAACCAACAAAAAATCCTATTCTTGGGTGAGGGTTTTTTACAAAAAGAATTTAAACAAGAGAAATTTGTGTTAACTACCCAAAGAGTCTGAATGAGACAAGAATATTAACTACCAAGGGGAAATCTACTCATATTAATTTATATTAAAATAAATACTAAGTAACAATATCACTCCATGACAATTTTTTCTCCATTCCAGAATTACCTTTTCATTTTAAAAAATCTCCTTTTTAAACCCACATCTTTTGCTTTAGTGACCACTCACTAATGTTCACCTTCAAGTCAGTGCCTTCAGCCAGCCCAGCAGCAAGCCTGATACAGACAGAACTGCTCAGCTGTTCTTAGATCGGAAGTCATCAATCTAAAATTGCGTTTTTGTCAGTGATCCCAATATATCTGTGCTACCTGGCCAGGTAGCTCTGCTGATTAGAGTATCATCCTGATGCACTGAGGTTTTGGATTCCATCCCCAGTCAGGGCACATTCAAGAAGCAACCAGTGAGTGCATGGATGAATGGAAGGACAAATCAGTGTTTCACAGCCTCTCTCTCTCCCCTCCCCCACTCCTTCCCCCCTTCCTCTTTCTCTAGAATTAATTTTCAAAAAATTAAAAGACTATTGGTATTCATCAAATGATGCTCAATTCCATTAACAACCTTATTGTTACCTCTCAGTGGAGTATTGTTAGATAACTCCTCCTCAACCTATATAAATTCTTGAAGAAACGACTTGTACCATTTTAGCTTCAAATGCTAGCTTCTGGCTCAGTAGAAGAAAATACATGTTTGCCTTTGCCATACCATTCATGATTTTTAGTTTGTCCTCGAAATACAGTTTTCTCTATCTATTCCGATGGTTAGATCATTTTAATTTCTCTTTCTAGTGCATTTCCCCCTGTTTGATTGTATTTTTCTTTAGCTGAGACAATGAGAATTACACATGTAGTTTCTGTGTACTATTCATGCATACAGGAAAAACCTTCATCTGCTTTGTTTCTATAAAAACTTGCTAATAACAACAGCATTTTATTGCTGTATTTTTTAAAGATTTTATTTATTTCTTTAGAGGGGAATGGAAGGAGAGAGGGAGAGAAACATCAATGTATGGTTGCCTTTCGTGCGTCCCCTGCTGGGAACTGGCCTGCAGGGAACCGGCCTGCAACCCAAACATGTGCCCTGACTGGGAATCGAACGGTGATTGTCTGGTTCGCAGGCCCGCACTCAATCCACTGAGCTACACGCCAGGGCTATTGCTGTATTTTTTAAAGTCACGAATAGAAAAAGATCTTTCTTTGTAAACACCTTGTTGTACAAAGACAATGGGAAAAGCAATATTACACTAAATCCAAACCTTTTCATAACCCAGTTATTATTTTAAATAATAGGTTTCAAATTGTCATTTTAAGTACAGTGTGGTCCCCCGGAAGCAACCTTGCCCACGCTGCTGTTTCGCTGGGGCCCTGCCCCAGGCTCTGCAGCAGGGCCGTCCACGTGGCTCGTGGGTCGGACCCAGGAGTGCACACCACGTCTCCGAAGGAAACCTGCAGCCTGGACATTAGCGAAGGCAGCTATGGGGACAGAGTGGTGTGAGTGGGCGAGGGAAATTAATTTTTGTCTAGGGCTGACATTTCACTACAAGATCCGTACTAAATTAACCTGAAACTATCACTGTATTTGGCTATGTTGAGATCCTGCGTTAATAATTAAGACTACTTAGTATTCCAGTATTTGTTAAAAGTAGGACACTTTTAAAAATAATATGACAATCTGTCCCTACATTTGTTTCCATGTTCCCTTCAAGATGCAACTGCAAATAATAGAATATCTATATAAAATAACAACATTTGTTTCAATTATTGTGAACACTCTGAATACATTTTAAAAAGTCAAATTTGACGAGGTGATTATATAAGTTAAATTTTCTTTTGTAAAATAAATAAATAAATAAAGCCAAAACTTGAATGTTGGACTTACATTACCGGAAAGTTCCGAATTTGTTTCTGGATGTCCATTTCCTTCCGACATGTTCGGGCCCGGAGGTAGGCTGGGGCTGAAGGCCATGAGGTCCGTCTTGGGCGGCCCCTCCCCAGAGCACACCCTCTGCCTCCTCTGCTGCGAGTACGACCAGCTCCCCACTGCGCTCGAGCACACCAGCACCCGCTTCCCCTGCGCGCACGCGCCCTCGCTGGGCGGGGCCGAGCACCGCAGCGCCGTGTACAGCAGCAGCGTCAGCACCAACAGGCTGGACACTGCGCAGATGGCGACGATCAGGTACACGTTCACCTCCACCAGGGTGGTCTCTGAGCTCGTGGCTCTGGAAGACGCTCGCGACGAGGTCTTCGGTGCCAGGCCGCTGTCCACCAGAGACAGCAGCACAGTGGCCGTGGCCACCTGCGCAGGCTCCCCGTGGTCCTTCACCAACACCAACAGGCGCTGGCGAGGTTCGTCAGCCTCGTCCAGGACACGCGTCGTGCTGATCTCGCCCGTGTACAGCCCCACGCGGAATGGGCTGCGCGCACCACCCGCCGCCGCCTGCAGCTCATAAGACAGCCACGCGTTGTAGCCAGAGTCCGCGTCCACCGCGCGCACCTTCGCCACCACGTGGCCCGCGCCCACAGACCGAGACACCAGCTGGCTCACAGCGCCGCCCCCGCCGCCACCGATGCCCGCCCCGGGAGGCAGCAGCGCGGGCGCGTTGTCGTTCTCGTCCAGCACGAACACCTGCAGTGTCACGTTGCTGTCCAGAGGCGGCACGCCCGCGTCGCGCGCGCTCACCTGCAACTGCAGCAGCTCCAGCTCCTCGTGGTCCAGAGGCTGCAGCGCGAACACCTTGCCGCTCTCCGCGTGCACGGACACGTAGCTCGACAGCGCACGCTCGCCCACCCGCCTCTCCACCAGCGAGTAGGACACCAGCGCGTTCTCCTGCGCGTCCAAGTCCCGCGCGGACACCGTGAAGATGTGGCAGCCGGGTGGGTTGTTCTCCTTGACGAACACCGTGTACTCGGGCTGCGCGAACGTGGGCGCGTTGTCGTTCACGTCGGCCACCTCCACGGACACGCTGGCTGTGGCCGACAGCGGAGGCGAGCCCCCGTCCCTAGCAGTCACTACTACAGCATAGTTCGCCACGCTCTCGCGGTCCAGGTCGCTGTCCAGCACCAGAGAATAGTAATTCTTGAAGGTGGACACCAGCTTGAAGGGAACGTGCGGTGTCAGGGTGCAGGTCACCTGGCCGTTGACGCTGGAGTCGCGGTCGGACACGGAAATGAAAGCGATGACTGTGCCGAGCGGAGCGTCCTCTCTGACCGGCAAAGACAAGGATGTGACCGCCAGTTCCGGAGCATTATCGTTTATATCCAGCACTTTCACTAAAACCTTGCAATGGTTTGACATCGGGGGACTTCCTTTATCAACTGCTTTTACCTGAATTTCGTAGGATTTTTTTTCTTCATAATCCAGCCGACCAATTAGCCTAATTTCTCCTGAGCCGGAATCAATTTTGAAATTCTTTCTAATGTTAAGAGGAACATCACTGCCAAATAAAAAGACAATTTCTCCATTCACAGCTTCGTCAGCATCTGAGGCATTTAATGTGGTCACTAGAGTTCCGTCTGCTGCAGTTTCTAACAAGTGGACTCTGTACACGGCCTGGGCAAACAACGGGGCGTTGTCGTTGACGTCCAGCACCGTGATCAGCAGCTGGACTGTACCTTCCAGTTCAGGTTTGCCCCCATCAGTGGCTGTCAATAATAAAAGAAGTTCTGGTGTTTCTTCTCTATCCAAAGACTTCCTCAATTTGAGTGAAAGTGACTTACTTAGTTCATCATTAGCCTGTATATCCAAAGAGAAATAATCGCTGGGGCTGAGAGTGTATGTTAGAAGAGCATTTGAGCCAATGTCTGCGTCCTCAGCGCCCTCCACCGGGAAACACGAATCCAGCAGTCTAGATTCAGGAATAAATAACCTTTGTTCTCTCTCTCTGAAGACTGGTGGATTGTCATTAATGTCCTTCACCTCCACCTCCACGTGGAAAACCTGCGGCGGCCGCTCCACCACCACCTCCAGGTGCAGGCTGCACTCCGCGCTCCGCCCGCACAGCTCCTCGCGGTCGATCCGAGAATTCACAAACAAAATGCCATTCTGCAGATTTACCTCCAGCAGGTCCCCGCGGCCTTTGGACGCCACGCGGAACAGGCGCGGCACCAGCTCCGCCAGCTCCAGTCCCAGGTCCTGCGCGATGCGGCCCACGAAGGTGCCGTGTTTGGCCTCCTCGGGGACCGAGTAGTGGACCTGGCAGCTCCCCGGCTTCCAGGCAGCGAGGAGCAGAAGAGAGAGCAGCAGGCACCGGGCTCCCTGCAAACCTCGCCTGGGATAGAGCATCGCAAAAGTACTCACTACACCTTTCGTACTCTCTCACCTTACTTCAAAAATCATGCCTTTTTACTTCATATTTTTAATAATTTACCTCCTTAACGTTTTTGTCTTCTCTCTTGGGCGGTGACAAAATGGAGCTTCCTCCTTAAGTTTTGACGATCAGTACAATTCCATTGACAAGACTTCGTGGTATATAGCGACATCATGTGGCGGCTGATGTGAGATTTTAGATCCATCAACTGATTTCCAAAATAGCCTCATAATCATTTGCAATTTAGTCAAGGCAATCATTTTCAATCGTATGTCCTTTTAAAGGCCCAGACATTTCAAATGTCACTTAACAGTATGTAATTCAATATTTTCCTTTAGGTGTGCTCACAAAAATATTACAGTTGGATTTGGGAAAATCACAATTTGCAATAAATAATTACATCTTTTTATTTAAAACAGTCTATCGGCTAATTTTTTAAAATTATTAAACACTTATAACTGAACACTGGAGTTTTAAAATAAGGCACTTAGGCTACTAAAATTCACCTTATCCTAGGATAGTTTGGGTGTTTCTTTTTTAAATGATATATGATTATCAAGTACTTATATATAAAATATGTAAAAATTTTGACAAAATATATTTAATATTTTTTCAGTGTTGTGTAAATAACAGCACCATTTTCTGATACTTTAAGTCTTAGAATAATGACATTTGGAACACTTCCATTTGTTACATCTAATTGCTGAACTTAAAACTTTGACCTCCAAAAATCATTATTCCAACTTGAATTGGTGTCCATTGTATTTTCATTCCTAGAACCAATTTTAAGGAAATTATATAATTTTTCCTCTTTCCTTATTAAGACAAAGTATTGTCATATTTCAGTTAAAATAATATGAATATTGTATCAATATCAAGTTCACATATATGAGGACTTGACAGGAATCCATCATCAACATTTTAAATGTAAATCTAATGTAATTAGATTTTTAGAAGAAACTAGAGAAAAACATTAATACACTTCTTTTTTAAACTTCAGTCCAATTTATAATAATAACACTGTATGTACCTCAAAATTTTGAGTATATGGTTGTAAACTACCACTAGTTAATTTTTAAAAGAATGTCCTTACCATATTTACTTAAACTACTATGGATTTTTAAGGATATTAATATTAAAAAGGATTAATCTACTATGTCTTCCTAATCAGAAAGCCCAAATCATTGTTTAAATTGACAATTAAGATATAGATGAAACATGATGCTCTTTTTAAAGAGTTATTTAAAGACTTTGTTTATTTATTTTTAGAGAGAGGAGAAAGGAGGAAGAAAGAAAAGAAGAGAAACATCAGTGTGTGGTTGCCTCACACACCCCCACTGGGGACCCAGGCCACAACCCAGGCATGTGCGCTGACTGGGAATCAAACCAGTAACCCTTTGGTTCACAGGCCCATGCTCGATCCACTGGGCTACATCAGCTGGGGCATTTTAGGGTTTATTTTATTCTCACTTACACCAGAGCGGGAGGGAGAGAGAAACATCAATTGGTTGCCTCCCATATGCACCCTGTCTGGGACCAAACTGACAACCAATGCATGTGGTTGACCAGGAATCGAACCTGCAACCTTTCTGTTATGGGACCATGTTCTAAACAACTGAGCTACTCTGGCCAGGGTTCATGATGCTATTTTATTTTTTAAAAAACAAGCATACAATATCAATAGTTCAGTGTAATCATTACTTTATTACAAAAGGTATAGCAATATTAAATACACCAATATTCTCTCTCAAAATGAAGGAACTTCAGAATTTGGAACTTTTCTAAATATCAGTAGATTTAAACAATACTGTCAATACTTGAATGTACAAGGTACTTTTAAGGTATTATAAATTTTCTTGGCATATATTTTATTACTATTAAGAAAACATAGAATAAATGCTAACCACAATCCACTGGAATTCAAATATTTCAAACATAATACTATTGGATTAAATGTGCTTTATTTTCCATAGTGAAAAGCTTTATTTACTTTTAAAACATACCTATTTAACTAAAAAGTATATAATTATTATTCATTAATATTGAGAACTACAATGATCTTTATAATTTCAACCACAAACCATATCATACAATTTCATCCTTTTTTATCAAAAAATGCTCAATTTGAAGCTATTCTCTTTGTGTGTGTGTGTTTTCTCTTTTTTCTTTTTAATATATTTTATTGGTTTTGCCATTACAGTTGTCCCATTCCCCCCCTTCATTCCCCTCCACCCTGTACACCCCCTTCCCCACCATTCCCCCCCTTTAGTTTATGTTCATGTATCACAAGTTCCTTAGATTCTATACTTTTCGTACTATTCTTGCCCTCCCCCTGTCTATTTTCTACCTACCATCTATGCTACTTATTCTCGGTACCTTCTCCCCTCTTCTCCTCCCACTCCTGCTGCTAACCCTCCATGTGATCTCCATTTCTATGGTTCTGCTCCTGATCTAGCTGTCCTCTTAGTTTGCTTTTGTTTTAGGTGTGGTAGTTAATAACTGTGAGTTTGCTGTCCTCTCACTGTTCATCTTTTTTATCTTCTTTTTCTTAGATAAGTCCCTATATAATAAGGCCTTGGTGATGATGAATTCCTTGAATTTGACCTTATCTGAGAAGCACTTTATCTTCCCTTCCATTCTTAATGAAAGCTTTGCTGGATAGAGCAATTTTGGATTTAGGTCTTTGGATTTCATGACTTGGAATACTTCTTTCCAGCCCCTTCTTGCCTGTAAAGTCTCTTTTGAGAAATCAGCTGACAGTCTGATGGGAACTCCTTTGTAGGTGACTGTCCCCTTATCTCTTGCTATTTCTAGGATTCTCTCCTTCATTTGAATCTTGGCTAACATAATTCTAATGTGCCTTGGTGTGTTTCTTCTTGGGTCCACCTTCTTTGGGACTCTCTGAGCTTCCTGGACTTTCTGGAAGTCTATTGCCTTCACCAGATTGGGGAAATTCTCCTTTATCATTTGTTCAAATAACTTTTCCACTTGTTGCTGTTCCTCTTCCCCTTCTGGTACCCCTATAATTCGGATGCTGGAATGTTGAAAGATGTTCTGGAGATTCCTAAGCCTCTCCTCAGTTTTTGGAATTCTTGTTTCTTCATTGTGTTCTGTTTGGTCATTTTTTCTTCCTTCTGGTCCATTCCCTTGATTTGAATCCCAGTTTCCTTTCCCTCACTATTGGTTTCCTGTGCATTTCCCTTAATTTCACTTAGTTTAACCTTCATATGTTCATCTAATTTGTGACTTAAACCAACCAATTCTGTGAGCATCCTGATCACCAGTGTTTTGAACTGTGCATCTGATAGGTTGGCTATCTCTTTGTTGCTTAGAAGTATTGGCTCTGGAGCTTTGAGCTGTTCTTCTTGAGCCATCACGTTTTGGTCTGTTTGCACCTGTTTGCATCTGTTATGTATGAGAGGTGGAGCCTTAGGTGTTAGCCAGGACTGGGCAATCCAGTTGCTGAGTTGTGATGCTTATGTGGGGGTGGGGTCAGAGAGGAGCAATGGCACTTGTTCCACCCTCTCTCTCAGATTTTGGTCCCCTCTGCTGCTTCTTGCAAGCAAATTGAGCCCCTCTGGTGCTGGTTCCTGGGTGTGTGGCCTGGTACACCCTCCAGGACCCTGTGGGTCTCTCCAACGAACTCTCTGTGAGCCTGGAAGCTTCTTCTGGCACCTCAACCCCAAAAGTTTTTCCAATTGGTGCTTTTAGGCTTTAATTCCTGTCACTGGGTCCCTAGTTTGTGCAGTCTGTCTCACTGCTTGCTCCTTTGCCTGGTTTATCTGAGTGTGAATGTGTGACCGCAGTCAGCCAGCCACCTTGAGACTCCTTTGGGTCCACCCATTGTCACCCCACACCTGGGATCTGCCAATCGCTGCCTGCACACCTGGGTCAGTTGGCCACTTTTGCCTGCTCGACCCCACTCAGCCAGCCACCGACTTCGTCCCTCTTACCAGTCTGGCTGAATGGTTCGTTGTTGTCAACTTCCATACAGTTCAATTTTCTGTGTTTTGGTTCCATTTTTGTTACTAAGACTTTGTTGTCTTTAAACTTGGTTGTGTGAGGAGGCACAGTGTTTCCACCTATGCCTTCATATTGGCCCTGAAGCTATTCTCGATGTTAGAAAAATGTCATTTACAATAGTCAAATAGAAATCAAAACAAAACAATACTTAACCATGGACTTCATTATCATGGCAATGATCATGAAAATAAAAGACCATACAATACTATCTTCAAGAAAAAAACAAGTGAGAGCATAAGTGCCTTGAAAAAAAGTATTATCAGACAGAGCTATTTAAAAAGCAGCGTTTGTACAGTATTGAAGTTAAGCTGGTATAAACCCAAATTACAGTGCTATAAGTTTAAGATATTAAATGCGATCTCCATGTTAACTACAAAGAAAAGAGCTATAGAATCTGAATAGACTTATAACCATTAAGGAGATTGAATCAGCAATTTTTTAATCTGACAAAAAGAAGTCCTTGACCCAGTGGCTTCACTAGTGACTAATACCAAACATTTAAAGAAGAAAATAATACCAATCTATCTCAAACTCTCTCAAAAATTAAAAAGAGGGAACACTTCTAACTCATCCTATGAGGTCAGCATTACCCTGATACCAAAGCCAAACAAAGACACTACAATAAAATAAAGCTACAGATCAATATTCCTTATGAAGAGTGATGCTAAAATCCCCACAAAATATTTAATAACAGGGTTCAGCAGCATGTTAAAAGGATTATACACCATAAGCAAGTGGGATTTACTCCTGCAATACAAGGATGTCTCAACATAAGTAAATAAATAAATATAATACACCACACTAACAGAATGAACAAAAATTCACATGATCGTATTAATAGATGCACAAAAAGCATTTCACAAAAGTCATCATTCTTTCACAAAAAAAGCACTCAAAATCCTACGGAAGGAATGGAAGTAAACTACCTGAACATAGTAAAATGCAATACATG